GAGAGAGAGAGAAACATCAATGATAAGAGAGAATCATTGATCGGCTGCCTCCTGCACACCCCCTAGAGGGGATCGAGCCGGCAACCAGGGCATGTGCCCTTGACCAAAATTGAACCCGGGACCCTTCAGTCCACAGGCCAATGCTCTACCCACTGAGCCAAACCAGCTAGGGCTAAGTAATATATTTTTATTAAAAACAACAATTTTCCAAAACAAAAAATATTTAGTGAGAAAATTGGCAGTTTTTTGTTTGTTATATTTATTTATTTATTTTTGCAAAGCTCTTTAATGTCTGGCTTAATAGAATATGCTGGAGTTTCGCCTCTGTTTCTGCATCAATCTACTGTGATACTGCACATCATCTAGCCTCTGGAAAACTGTGCCCTAGCTAGTGAGAGAATGAGAATGAAAAGGGCAAACATCTTAGTATAATCATGAAAATAGTTTTGCCCTCTCAAACCGGTCTCAAGAAACCCTAGGGCTGGGTCTCTGACCACTCTTTGAGAAATGCTGCTCAATAGAAAGATTTTACCAAACTACACTATCACCACTGTGCCCTTTTCCCTGCATCTTCTTCAACACTGGGCATGATATACTCTTTTTAACATTTGCTAATTTGTTCAGCAAAAAGCAGGCTCTCTGTGATTTTAATTTGCATTCTATAATTTCTAATACTATGGAACCTTTTTCATGATTTTCGTAATTTATATTTTTCTTTTATGAATTGCCTCTGTATCATTTGCACATTTTCTTCCTGGGATGGGCATCTTAATGATTGTAAGAGTACGTTTTATATTCAGGGTATTAGCGCTTTGTCATGAATGTTGCATATATTTTTTATGTACACGAGGAGTTTTTTTGTTTTGCTTTATTAATTAATTTTTCAGATTTAAAATTTTTCTTAATTTTTTAAATTGATTTTTAGAGAGGAAGGGAGATAGATAGAAACACTGATTAGAGAGGACAATCATTAATCGGCTGCCTCCTGCACTCACCCCCACTGGAGATCAAGCCTGCATCCCGGGCTTGTGTCCTGCCTGGGAATTGAACCAGTGACCTCTTGGTTCCTGGGTCGACATTCAATACTTGAGTCACACCGGCTAGACTACAAGAGGTTTTTATTATTATTGTTTTTATACAGGCAAACCTATCAGTATTTTTAATGGTTTCGTCCTTTCCTTTCCCCTAACACACAGTCAAATATGTAAATTGTCCTCTAATTTAATTTCCCACCAGCAGTGTATGAATGTTCCTGCTTGGCCTAGGAAGGCATCAGGAGACATCTGATTAGCACTTTCATAGTATTAATAAAATCTTACCTTTTTTATATTTTTATTGATTTCAGAGAGAAAAGGAGAGGGAGAGAGAGATAGAAACATCAATGATGAGAGAGAATTATTGATTCACTGCCTCCTGTACACACACACCCCCTCCCTGGTTTAGGGATTGAGCCCAAAACCAGGGCATGTGTCCTTGACCTGGAAACAAACCTGGGACCCTTCAGTCCGCAGGCTAATGTTCTAGCCACTGAACCAAACTGCCTAGGGCTCCATTGATTTTTAGAGAGAATGGGAGAGGGAAAGACAGAGAGAAACACATTGATTGGTTGCCTCCTGAACGCTCCCCGACCAGGAGCTGGACCTGAGAAGAGCCTACAACTGAGGTACATGCCCTTAACGGGAATCAAACCTTGGGACCCTTCAGTCCACATGCCAACACTCTACCCCAGTGGTTCTCAACCTTCCTAATGCCGCGACCCTTTAATACAGTTCCTCATGTTGTGGTGACCCCCAACCATAAAATTCTTTTCGTTGCTACTTCATAACTGTAATTTTGCTACTGTTATGAATCGTAATGTAAATATCTGATATGCAGGATGTATTTTCATTGTTACAAATTGAACATAATTAAAGCATAGTGATTAATCACAAAAACAATATGTAATTATATATGTGTTTTCTGATGGTCTTAGGCGACCCCTGTGAAAGGGTCATTCGACCCCCAAAGGGGTCACAACCCACAGGTTGAGAACCGCTGCTCTACCCACTGAGCCAAACCGGTGAGGCAAGCATGTCAAATTCAAAGACTAACATGGACCAAATAAAAGAGGTATTCAGCCCTCAGGCCACGAGTTTGACATGCTTGGGCTAGAGCAAAATCTTATCATTTTTATCCTATTGATTATTTGGGTATTAGAAACTGAAAATAAACTCACATCTGAGCCATAATGATCTTTACTGTCATCATTCTAGGACACTTCCCAACCAAATGTTGTTGGGAAGAAAACTCCTGCTCACCCAGAGCAGGGTGACAAATGTGGGTTTTATTGTTTGTGTGGCAGAGTAGGTGGGTCTTACCTGCTCAGAAGACTGGAGACCCATTTCGGTGGGCATTCTGGCCTCCTGCCAACACTATGGTGCCCAGCAGGGGGCTGTCTGATCAGTACCCTGGGGTGAGGCCAACTTATACACAAAATTTTAGCAAGGGATTTGGGTATCCAAGAAGTTAAAGCTTTATTAGGGGACAATAGCCTAAGCATTCATGACCCATTTCTCAGGAAGAGAGGTTTTAAATCAAGAAAAGGAAACTAGAACTTAACAGTCTGACAGGATATTCTAGCTAACCACAAATTTACAGAATTACAGCTTAGCTACAGCGATATTCTCCTTTAGCAGCTTTTCAGACCTCTCCAGTACATACTACCTTCTATAGCTCGACTTCTCTGGAAAAGGTAACTAGAAACCATTACAAAGTGGATTTTGTGTCCAAGGTGAGAGCGGGCCCCATTAGCTGGAATTTTCTCAATATTGTTTCCCACATTCTTAACCACACTAGAGGTTTTTCTTTGCCAGTCTGGCAGATGTAAAAAAAAAAAAAAATAGCATAGCATTGTGTAAATTTTCATTCCTTAGCTTAATAGTGAGAAAAAAAAATGTTTTTCAGCTGTTTGCATTCCTCCCTTGGTGAATTACCTATTAATAACTTTTTTACCTTTTTTATTGGGGCGTTCATATTTTTCTTATTGATTGAGGAGCACATCAGGTAGCAAAATATTAACCCTTCATTATATATACTGAACTTTTTCTTAGTGTATTAGTTTCCTTTTAACTTCTGCTCTGCAGTATTTTCTAATGATTAAATAGCTAAATCTATCAATCTTTAACTTTCTGGTTTCTGCCTTTAGTATCATACTTTGGAAGTCTTCCCTCACCACCACATTTACAAAATAAAAAAAATCCTCTTTTTCCTTCTAGTATTTTATGTTTTCATTTTTTACATTTAAATCTAAGGGATCTGAAATTTATTTTGCTATCTATGATGGGAAAAGCTAACAATTTTTTCCCCAAAAAATTGCTGTATAGTTGTCCCAATGATATTTATTGAATAATCCAGGAATGACAAATATGTGGCCTAAGTGTATTCTCCTCCTCCTGGGCCCCTGGAAGACATTTCTAATCAAACGCAGAACTCCTGGCTAAGCCTAGACTCAGCCTCCAAGCCCTCCTATAACTTCAGGCAGCCACCGCCTTCCTGTGTAGTCTGAATCTAGATGACACTTTTTGTCATCCCCTAGACTAATCCATCATTTTCCCTATCAATGTGAGAGGCCTTTATTAGACAATACATTCTTTTTTATTCTAGACTTTCCTTTCTGTTTTATCAATATGCCTGCCTCTTCTTATAGCAGCTCTCCTCCCTGTTTGGTTATTATGACTATGTATGAAATGGTAATATCTGGTAGCACAAGCCTTACACCCTTTTCAACACTTTAACTATTTTCTCTCATTTAAACTTCTGACTAAATTTATTGCATCGAAGTACCTCCAAAATTAATTAATTAAAAATTCATATTAGATTTTCCAATTTAGGTATATAGTATTTCTTTCCATTTTTAAAGATCCCCTTTATGTCTCTGAATAGTTTTATTCTGATAGGTCATTTACATTACTGGTTAAATTTATTCCTAGATATCTTATATTTTTTATGGCTATTATAAGTAGAATTTTTTTTCAGTATAACATCTAAATTCTTATTATTAGAATGAAAGCTTCATGGGAGCAAAGACCAAACTTCTTTTGTTCATAACTGTAACCATAGAGCTTAAGAAACAGTGCCTCCACATTTTAGGTTCTCAATAAAGTTTTTAAATGAGTAAAAGAATAAAGGCATAAAGCAATGCTATTGTCTTAGTGTGTCATCTATAATAATAAAAGCATAATATGCTAATTAGACTGGATGTCCTTCGGGACGAAGCTGGGGCTGTGAGGGAAGCCCGGGTCCCGGGTACCGGAGGGAAGCTGGTGCCGACAGCTGTGGGAAGCAAGGCCTACTCTTGCACAAATTTCGTACATCAGGCCTCTAGTTGATTTATCACAGGCAACCTTACTAAATTATTTGATTAGCTTTGTTTTTCAAGTGATTCTCTGGAATTACTATCTGTAAATAATAATTACCTTTTTCTAGCATATATTGTTCTTATTCTTCTTATAAGACTTATCGAATTGAATAGAACAATGATAACAACATAGGGTAATAAGTTATGTGAATGTGGTTCTCTCAAAATATCTCATTGTACTATACCCACCTTTTCACTTAAAGGAAGCACTTCACAGTTTCTCTTTGGCATATCTGAATTGCCAGCAGCACTACTCTTATACTTTGGGGCCATGATTAAGTAAAATAAGGGTTACTTGAACATAAGCACTGTGATACCATGACAACTGATCTGATAACTGAGAGGCTACTAATTGACCAACTGGAGAATAGCATATATGCTGGACAAAGGGATAATTCATGTCCCGGGTAGGATGAAGCATGAGATTTCATCACACTACTCAGAACAGCGAACAATTTAAACCTTATGAATTATTTCTTTCTGGAATTTTCCACTTAATATTTTCGGACAACATTTGAGCACGGGTAACTGAAACCATGGAAAGTCAAACTGCTTATAAGGGGGGACACTATTATAGTGACACAGGATATTTATAAACTGAAAGGGAAGAGACAGTGAAACAGACTAAAAGTTTAAGAGACAGAGGGACCCTGGCTGGGTAGCTCAGATGGTTAGAGTGTCATCCCAATATGCCAAGATTGCGGGTACAGTCCCCAGTCAGGGCACATGTAAGAATCAACTAACGAATGGGTAAATAAGTGAAACAACACTTCTCTCTCTCTCTCTCTCTCTCTCTCTCTCAACAATAAATAAAAACATTAATTAATTAAAATTTTTAGAAAGACATAGGGAAAATATAACCCAGCTGCCTTGGTGGGGACCCTGTTAGCCTGGATCGCTGCATTCCCTGTAGCAGAAAGGAAGTATGTTAAGATGAGTGAGGATTGGTGCCTCAGGAGAAAATAACTCCCACCTCCGTCCTTTTTCAACTAGAGAGTGACAGAGGAGGGAGTGTGGGAGCCCGGAGATCAGTGTCGGTGTGGAACCACTGCTCTTGGGCCTGCTGACTGGGAGGAATGAAGTGCTGCTGGACAGAGATAGTGTTCCGGCTGAAAAGGGAAATCATAAATACACCTGGTCACAGAGTAAGGCCTCAGGAGATTCTGATTTCATTGGTCTGGTTTTTGGCTGGGCATCAGAAATTTTAAAACATTCCTGGTTACACTAATGTGCAACCATGGGAATTGTTGGGGTCAAAAAGTAAATTTGTGCATATGGAGTCTGAATCTCCAACTCTAGGCTGAAACAAGGAGTCCTGTGGGGGCTGTGGCCATCCCCCCAGTCACAGAAGGATGACTCCCTGCCTTGTTCTGCCCTTTCATCAGGGTCTGAACTCCTCTCCAACCTTCTACCTTAAGTTAAACCACAAAGAACTTTCCTGACAGAGAGACCCAGTGACCCTTGGAATGGCAGTGAAGGGCCAGGTTTGGGAATATTATAGTAATTACGGCAAACAATCTGCTTTCCTGCTTATGAACCAAGCCAGCAGCCTGGTTCAGTGTGTGTGTGTGTGTGTGTGTGTGTGTGTGTGTGTGTGTGTGTGTTTCAAGCTGCCAATTCAACTAAAAAACAAAAGCTGCTCTGAGACTGGAGGGAGGTTTAACAAGTGACCATGATGACTCATGCTGCTTGATATTATAGTAATTACGGCAAACAATCTGCTTTCCTGCTTATGAACCAAGCCAGCAGCCTGGTTCAGTGTGTGTGTGTGTGTGTGTGTGTGTGTGTGTGTGTGTGTGTGTGTTTCAAGCTGCCAATTCAACTAAAAAACAAAAGCTGCTCTGAGACTGGAGGGAGGTTTAACAAGTGACCATGATGACTCATGCTGCTTGGCTTAGAGGGGGGGGGGGGGGGGGGGGGGGGGGGTTGCCACCCCCGTAGGGCAGGGCCTGGGTGGGAAGAGTTGCAGGTACCTGGCTCCTGTGAACTTCCCACAATGCCTTGGGGGGGCAGGCTGCCTTTTGGGCCAACCAAATATTTCTGCAAAAATTATGGCAGAAAATGTAGCTTCCCTCTCATGGCCACAAATTTCCTGCCATAAGCAGGCAAGCTGAAGCACGAATGAGGCTGACAGATCTTGCAAAGGCATGGGATGTTCACACAAGAATCGGGGTTTACAATATTAGGCTAAAAACTGGCCTCTTTTTTCAAAAAGGGTTCAGGTTGGAACAAGAGAAGGCCTGGGCAGAGCATGAATGTCCTGAAGTAGGGGTTGGGAGATAGGACCCACCCAGAGGAACACATTTAATGTAAACTTACAATGTACAGGTTTGGGGACATGAAGGAAACATTAAACTTGTGCTATCCAACCCACAGTTACTTGCCTCATGTGGCTGTAGAGCATGTGAATGGCTGCTCTGAATTAAGAGGTGAAATAAACAGCAGATTTCAAAGATAGTACAGGAAAAAAAGTGTAAAATAGCTCATGAATAATGTATTAATACTTCTTTTACACTGACTACATGTTGAAATGATATGTCCACCTGTTTGGTGTTTTGTTTTGTTTTTTAAGAGATGCTTCTATTTTTTTTTTTAAATATTTCATTGGTTTTTTACAGAGAGGAAGGGAGAGAGATAGGAGTTAGAAACATTGATGAGAGAGAAACATCGATCAGTTGCCTCCTGCACACCCCCTACTGGGGATGTGCCCACAACCAAGGTAAATGCCCTTGACCGGAATCAACCCTTGGACCCTTCAGTCCGCAGGCCGACGCTCTATCCACTGAGCCAAAGCAGCTAGGGCTGTCCACCTGTTTCATTTTACTTTTTAAAATATGACTACTAGAAAGTGTGAAAGGACATCTGTGGCTTCCACATTTCTGTTGGACAGTGCTGCCCTATGCCCATCAACCAATGAAATGGACACGTACTTTGGCCAGGAAGCATGAAGGGACAAAGTCATAAATAATAATAATAATAATAATAATAATAGCAGCTCCAGTTTTTACAAGGTTGATGACTTGCCAGGCACTTTGCACTGATTTAGTAACTTGCCCTAGGTAAGAAAGTGAGTTGGATTCCGGAAACCCATTATTAACCAATTGGCTAAACTGCCTCCCTGGCAGCAAAGACCTTGAGGTGCAATTGAGGTGGATCACCACACATGCCCTGACACAATAAAGGAGCTGTCACCTGGCAGAGAATATCCAAGTTAAAAACCCACCCTCAGGAACACGTACACTTTAAACGTTTTCTATGTGATTGAAACACAAGCAATCTATCTACATTCTCTTTCCCAATTTCTTTTTTTTTTAAATATATTTTTATTGATTTCGGAGAGAGGAAGGGAGAGGGAGAGATAGAAACATCAATGATGGGAGAGAATCATTGACTGGTTGCCTCCTGCATGCCCCACACTGGGGATTGAGGCCACAACCCCGGTATCGAACCTGAGACCCTTCAGTCCACAGGCCAACTCTCTATACATGGAGCCAAATCGACTAGGGCCCCAATTTCTTTTTCAAAGATTGCAAACATTTTTGACATGTTGGTCAGAGTAAGAGGCTCAGCACATGACCCTGGGAACGAGCACCTTGGCTGCCTAGTGTCATGACTAGGAAGCTTTGAAAAATCCTGCTGCCTGGGCCCCCACCCCCAGAGATTCTGATGTAATTAGTCTGGTTCCTGAGCTTTAGGATTTTTAAAGGCTGCCCCAGGTGGTTCTAATATTCAGCTATGGATGAGAATCACTGGAGTAAAAAGTTAACTGATCCATATGGAGACTGGACCCCCCAAGCCCCAGCTCTACCTAATGGCTGAGCACTTCGACTCAGGCTCTTTCTGAATGGGTACATTATAATTTATTTGTTTGTTTGTTTGTTTGTTTGTTTGTTTTTAATCCTCACCTGAGGATATATTTCCATTGATTAGAGAAAGTGGAAGGGAGGGGAACAGATGGAGCAAGAAAAACATCGATGTGAAAGAGACACATTGATTGGTTGCCTCCCGCACGCACCCTGGTTGGGGATCAGCATCGAGCCTGCAACCGAGATACGTGTCCTTGGCCAGAATCAAACCTGGGACTCTTCAGTCCATGGGCTGATGCTCTATCCACTGAGCCAAACCTAGGGCTGAATTGGAACATTTTTAAAATACAGCTACTTTAGGGCACATTCTGTTCAATTTTGTTCATCTCTCAATTTTTTTTATTTTAAACCCATAACCACATGCACACATACTGAGTGGATGAAAGCAGGAGGAGATTATGAAAAGTACACTGGACATAAAGCCAAGAGCACTTACAACAAAGAGTAAATAAGGCCTACAGATTTGATTGGTTAATTGAACGATGTATTTTTTTAGCCCTAGAGATTTAATGCACAGTATAGTGAATACAGACAACAATACTGTATTATAATCATCAAACTTACTAAAAGAGTAGACCTTAATAATTCCAACCATGAAAAAGAAAGGATAATTATTTATCACGATAGAGGTGCTAATTATCACTACAATGACAATATTTAGGTATCAAATTAACATTCTGTACACCTTACATGTACACATTATATGTCTAACATAGTTCAATTTTTTAAAAAAGCCAAGAGCACTTGTCTGCCACTTCTGAGATGCCATTTCCCCCCATCTGTAAAAAGGGCGGGTTAGCCCAGATTGGCCTACAGGCAGCTTCCAGCAGAGGCATTTCAGGATTGTAGATCAGCGATTTTCAACCAGTTTGCCGCAAGAATTTTTAAAACATGCAATACCTGACTATTTAGTCAGGGTACTGACCTCTCTCCCTTAGATTGTCAAGTAAATGACAACAGCCAACACAATAGCCATCCAGTGTAAGCGAATCAAAATTATTCCTTTTTTTTTGGGTCAGGTCAGCAAAAGATACATATTTTGGTGTGCTGCAGAATTTTTGTAACTAGCTTATGTGTACCAGAAGATGAAAAGGGTTGAAAATCGCCGTTCTAGATTGAGGTCACTCTGCCCTAGATTTTGTGTCTGATCCCACAGCCAGAGAATAGGGCTGGTTCCCTTGCTAGTGACTTAATGCTACAGCCATAACGGAAACTTTTCTTTCTCTCTCTCTCCTCTCTCTCTCTCTTCTCTCTCTCTCTTGAGACGACTTCACCTTTGACACAGAAACTTCCATCTGTATTCTATCATGCCTATCCTATTCTCCCCACCCCCACTCCTCCTTATGTAAATCAGCCGAGGGAATCAGATCTTGAAGAAACTTTGATCTCTTTATCTGAAGGCACAAAGATAGCATTGCAAAGCCTGCTGCTGGTGTGGAGGTGGCATCGTTAGAAATGCTTCACATTTTTCTCACAAGTTTCACTCTTATACACAGTCGATCTTCCTCCGGCAAGGCCTTGGGGAAACGGGCAATGGAATGAGGAAAAGAAGGCAGGCAAGGTGGGAGGGAGGCTTATTTGAAAGGAAACATCAGCAAATTCTGATATGCAAAGTTTTGGAAAATCCTTCGTATCTCAGTCTCTTAGAAAGAACCTGAGGCTGGGCTGTGGACTTGGCTTTCTCATGTGTGATATTTTTTTAAAAGATGGTTCATGTTTGCAAGCCACTAAGTGCAACAGGCCTCTCATTGACGCCCACCCCCAGTCCTGTTCTGTGCCCCTCCTGCCTACATTGCTGCCAGTGCTCACTCTGAAATGCACATCTAACAACAGTGTTACTCCCTGGTGTAAGATCGGACTTCAGTTCCACTCCCACCCCACGGACTCCATTACCAGTAGAAAAATAAAATGTAAACTCTTCTCTGTGTCATTTGAAACCCTTCAAAATCTGGTCCCAGGCTACATTTTTTACCTCATCTTCTGCAAATCTGCACCTTTCTCCTGCTCTCCAGCCCACTGAACCCACTGCCCTCCCACCCTGTGTCGTGTCCGCCTCTGGATAGCCATGAGGTCCACCAGGAAAGACAGTGGCTTGGCCACTCTGGCTGCATCCATCCTCCAGTACCCACTCTAGTTCCTCAGGAAGGGTTGATGCCTGAATAGAAATCCACGTAGAGGCCAGGGGATTGTCAAGGGTGGGGGGGAAAAAAGGACACATATGTAATACCCTTTGTAATACTTTAAGCAATAAAAATAAAAAAATAAAAAATAAATAAAAATAAAGCAAAACCTGGAAAAAAAAAAAAAAGAAATCCACGTAAATTAAGACAGGACAATAGGACAATTCCCAAATTCCCTTCAGCCCAGCCCTAACTTCTGAGAACTATTCCCAGGAGCAGAGCTCAAAAGTGCTTAGAACTTGACCCAGTTCATACTAACAGTCACTGCAGTTCCCAGTCCAGAAAAATAGAGACAAGTGGTCTGACAAAGGGTTTAAACAATTTTTGTTTGTTTTAGTAAACCATTAATAG